TAGGGAAAATACAAGGTTTACAATCTTTGTTCAGAGAGGTTGTATGATGTATCGTTATTTGAAGGAAAGGTATGCTATCTGATATCCTTATTCACATGTCATCTGGACGTCATGCATATCCTTAGATGCCCTGCAACATTGTGATTAATGATTCCTAGTAGGGTATTGACATTGTCACAATCCGAGGGGCCACAACTACAGACTCTTTGGTGTCCTATATTTGTCTCATAAAATTGTTATAGGGCTTTGATTTCTTTGTCGTCAGGTTGCCAGTTTCCCATTTGATGATCATAACTGCCCGCCGGTCCATTTGATCTCATCATTTTGCCAAAGTGCTTACTCATGGTTAAAGGAGGACATAGAGAATGTTGTGGTTGTGCACTGCAAAGCTGGAATGGCAAGGACGGGGCTTATGATCTCAAGCCTTCTGCTGTATCTGAAGGTAAGATATTTATCCTGACATTGTTGAACACGATGTCTTTTATTGGGAATTTCAAAACGGAATCTGTATTCATTGTCTTTTCCAGTTCTTTCCGACAGCTGAAGAGTGCATGGATTTCTACAACCAGAAAAGATGCGTGGACGGAAAAGGGCTTGTGTTACCTAGCCAAATTGTGAGTCTTTTTTACTGGTTACATGACAATCTCATTTAGAAACAAATTTCTTGTTCTATTGACACTGTTTATGCTAACCAACAAGTCTGTCTGAGTCATCTGTTTTTAGAGGTACGTGAAATACTTTGAACGGATTTTGACATATTTCAATGGGGAAAACCAACCGGGTCGCAGGTAAGTTCCAGTTACAAATATCTTAAACTTGCATGGTGTTGTGTATTTTTTGGTATGCATGGTGTTGTGTATTGGGACTAACTATACCATTAAATACTTATTTTTTAGGTCTATGCTTAGGGGTTTTCGGCTTCACAGGTGTCCGTATTGGGTCAGGCCATCCATCACTGTTTCAGACCATAACGGTGAGTTGGTGATGATTGTTTTTTTTTACAAACCATTTTGAACTGGATGCCGCCATCTGATTTTGGATTGAAGATTGTTTGAAAGTTAAATTCCCAATCATAATAATGCTCATGATTTAGTCACTGGTTTTGATTCTGAAACCTGGTTTTTGGATCATTTTATGGATCAAACGGCCAATGTTGTGAAAGGACTGATAGATCTCCAGATAGAAGAGGTTGAGGCCAAAAAGGCCCCAGCCGAGTAGCTGTCCGGGGTTGTCTTTCTTCTATTTTGGGTTAGTTGTTTCTTTAATTGACCTTTGGGGCTTTTGGTTTTATCTATCTATTTTTGGGTTTGGGATTTTAGGATTTTCGATTCAATAATAATACCTAGGGTTTCCTAGGGCCGTAGAGACCGGCCTTAGTTAAGGGCAAGTTTCTGCAGAACATAAAGTAGTTGAGAGTTGATCAAAGTATTAAGAGGCAGACGCACCTCAAACAGCGGTCGGATGCGCCTGCGTCCCAAAATAGCGGCAAAACTATCTGGATATAAACCCCGGTCCAGTTTCTATCAGTCAAAATTCTCAAAGCCGAACAGTCACCTTATATCTAGTCCTTGTTAAATAACATTGCTTCTGGATTACCGAAGCTCTGAATCATGCTTATCTAACACTAGTAGTACACATAATTTACATTCAGGTGTTCTCTTCTCCACCAAAAAACACACAAGGACGAAGGATCTCTCGGTGGGTCACCCAACCTATTTTGTTAGGGAAACAGTTGTGGATTTGCGTTGCACCATTTACAAACTCTAATGGTTATGCAGCCGGAAGACTTTTGGTTCAGTGCACCAAAGAAAGGGATTATGGTCTTCGCCCTACCGGGAGAGCCTGGTCTGACTGAGTTAGCTGGGGACTTCAAAGTCCATTTTCATGACCGTCAAGGAGATTTTTACTGGTTAATAGACTAATATACCTTGAATTCAATAACCTTCATTTTCTGGTTTTCTTACAAAGCCCTCGTGGCCTTTGATGAATCTCAGTTGGTTAAACACGGGAATGATGGAGAACAGGAAGATTCTGAATACAGATGACCTCGATGGGTTCGACAAGGTAATTTCTGAATGCTTGACTGCTCGTTTAAGGAAAATTTTGGTTCTTATTTCTCTCTATCATCTCTAAGCATATTGCTCTCTTCGAACCCACGTTTTGGGTCTCATGTTTCTCTTTTCTGATACTTTTTCCGGTCTGATTACATGCAGAGGAAGCTACCTTCGCCTGGATTTCAGATCGAAGTTGTTCTTGCTGATATCTGCTCTACTTCCCCTGCAACAACCCCTCGTTCACAAACAAAAACCGAGACACCGAAAGAAACTTCATCTAATTGTCCCCCGGTTGAGAACATTGAAGCGGATCCAGAATCGAAGAAAGAAACCGGGAACTCTAATAAAGATGATGTATTCTCTGATAGCGAACACAGAAAACGGCACTCGGGTTCATGTGGTCCGAGTGAAACTCCCCCCATTACCCAAACTACTGAATCCAAACGAAGCCCGGATCAAGTTTCCAAGGTAACACAAGCATTTGAGAATGTCTCTATCTCGGGAATCCCGGGAAATGCTGAAGCAGCCGAAAAGAAGACCTCGAGTTTAGATGCTGCAAACTCAGAGAGCGAGTTCAAGGTAATGGCAGCTGATGCGTCAGTGTTTACGTTTGGAGACGAAGAAGAGTATGAAAGCGAGTGAAGGAAGTCTCATTGATGAATCTGTACATAAAAAGATTACCCAAAAGAAGAAAATTCAGTTCTAAATTATATTATTACATGTTCAGTCAACATTCAATTTCATTTTTGTCGTTATTTGTGATGTCGAAGTATACTTTTATATTGCTCGTGCTGCGTGAAATATACATGTACTGCACACAAGTCACATTTATGTTGTTGATTATGTCTTACCATTTTGTCGGTTATATTCGATTTTTCTTACTTTGGTTAGTGATGGCACGCACCGAGTCTTATATTTAATACCCGATTCGTACCACTATCCGCAAGTATACGGTAGTTATAGTACCGGGGTCGAACACGAGGATTAGGATGTATTAGTCTATCTCTAAGTTAGATTTGGTGGTCAAGTAAAAATGTGGTTTGTGATAAGTGTCGGAATACAAGAAAGCAAGTAAAATTAACGGTTTGTAAAACGATGGGTTGAGGCGTTGTAGGTTCGGGATCCCTCATGAGTCGCGTGGACGGTTAGTGATGCTACAATGTCTTAGGGTTTATCTCCAATTGGGGGTTTCAAGCACTTCTTCCAGAGTTTGTCTCTCCCGAGCTTAAACTCACTACCTAGAGAATCGATTTACCCATCTCCCAATGATCTAAATGATCTCTAGATGCATTAATGTACCCTATCATGAACCCTAAGCAAGCTAAACCATTTCCCAATGTGAATAACTCACTCATTTGACATTTGGTTCCAAACATCATTCCCATATCCCTATGATCAATGTGTTCTATGGTCATATCAATTAGGGTTTCGCCCAAATCAATAGCATTAAGCACAAAACATCAAACCAATGGAAGAAAACTCAAAGACATCATAGATTAAGCTTAGGTGTCCATACAAAAGTGGGGATCTCTCACCCACAACAAAATCACTACTCCATAACTAGGGTTTCAAAACAGAAAGCAAAATGAAGAAACATGGAAAAGGAGAAGAAATGCTCAAGATGGTCTTCAATGGTGGTCCTCTTCTTCTCCTAGCCTCCTTGATCTCCAAAATCCCTCTTTTTTCCTCTTCCAAGTCAAGTCTCTCTCCAAAGTGTGTAGCCCCCTTTCTCTCTCCTCAAACTCCCCTTTTTATGAAAGTCTAGAATTAGGTTTTCTCCTCAAAACATGGGTTTTTCCTTTTTGGGCCGATTTTGATTTCAGACGGTCGCTCATTTTTCTTCAGGGTCGCTCATTTTTCAGGCGGATCGCTCATTTTCCTCTGCACACGCGAAAAAGCAAGCGACTGCTCATAAAATGAGCGACCGCTCATAAAATGAGCGACCGCTCACAAAACGAGCGACCGCCCATAAAATAGGCGGGTCGCTCATTTTTTCTGAGCTTCCCGAGCCTTCTCGAATTCTTGTTCTTCCGTGTCCGCTTCGTGAGGATTCATCGTGGAGTCTTCCTGCAAGGAAAAACAAGCAAAACAACCTACCCATGACCATTAAACGTCTTATAATGCCTAGAATGAGAGAAGAATTGTGATACATGACGTTATAAAATCGGTGAAAAAACCATGTGATCAAATCCCCCTAGACTTGAGGTTTGCTCGTCCTCGAGTAAATGTGCAGTTATAAAACTATCGAAGGGGTGATAAGATACAATCGGAGAACGAATGGGGGTTTTGAGTGGATTGGTTGTACGGGTTAAAATCGCTGCGAATGAAATCGAGTTTGGTATACTCTATCTTCTCCAACATTTAAGCAAAATCTTATCAATGGGATTTTCATTGCTTCTTACAGTCTAAGATGAAATGATTCCTACTTGCCGAGCATGTCTCCTAAACACATCCCAAATGAGAGCCCCAAAAGTCACTTAGCCTATAACTTCACTGTTTTCTCTTGCCCCATATCTTTCCTTTTTATTCCGGTTTTTGTGTTCTTTTTCTTTTTCTTTCTCTCCCTTTCTCTTTTTTTTTTTATTTTCCATATGATGCAATCCCGAGCTTCTAGAACGTTGGAATTTGACGAGTTCACTCTCTTTTTTTTTTCTTTTTGTGTTCTTATCCCACAACTTAGACCCGAGCCTTCATTTTTGACGCACTCATGTCCCCGAATGATTTTCATTAACGAGATGATGACAGAGGAGTGTCGGGATGCATCGTATTTTCTAGGGCTTGTAGCTTCCTATAGGCTTCCTAACTTAGAGGTCAAAGGGTGGTTTTTAGGGAGACGTTTCGTGCTTGGTTCGTAACCTCTACCCCATCTAGACTTTAGGAGACAAAATCATCCCACGTGACATTCATTCGCTCTAGGATTGGATCAGCTATTTCTACCTCACTCGACAATCCATTCAACTCTTTAAATCGATCTAAACTTAACTCCTAAAACCTTTCTAAGTCAATCCTTACTCTATATTCCACACATCATCATCCGGCCAAATATTTGAGGGGAAAAGCTTATGCAAGTGTATGCATGCATTCCTAGACCTATATGTACATGTGCAACCTATTGATGACGATCCATGCAACTATGTACAAAATGCAAGACTCCTTTTTTTCCTTTTTTTTCTGATGAATATGGAATGCATGATTCTAAGTGCAAATGATGCATGATGTGTAGGGTTCATGGGTACAGTGTGCGTTAGTGCATTCCTCCCCCCAGACTTGAATCAAACACCGTCCACGGTGTTGACTTTCGGCTAGTGGAGAGATTCCAAGGGTGAAATAAGGAATGGAATGAAAGGGGTGAGTGTGTTACCTTTTTCGATGGGGTGGAGTTGCATTCCAATTTCTCTTTTGCGGATGTCGTAAGCCCGTGAAACCTATGCAATGTGAGAGAACTACAATTCTATGTGATGTTAGCTAAAATGAATGCAAAGGAGTGAGAGTTGAGAGAGAGGACCGAGCGGGCCTTTAGTAGAACCCGTGGGATGATGACTCTTGTCCGGAGTCTGTGCCGAGGTCTGATGAGACCTCAAAATGGATTCCTTCTTCGGTCAGAGGGGGTAGCACAAAACAGGCCATGTCGAATGATCGATACCTACTCTCGACGTCCACGAACCTCCATAATATGTCCCCGTTTTGTTCCTTGACAAAATTGTTCTCCAAAAGATGCATATAGTTGATCTTGTCCCTGTGGATGAAATCATGCGCATATGCTCTAAGATCGATGCCCAATCGCTCTGCAATCATGGTTACGATCCCTCCAAAGCAAATTGACTCAGTGGTGGAAGTGATTACCTTGTGCATATGCAGTGCTACCCTTGATGCGACGTCCGCAACCTCTAGACGGTTGTTCATCATGAAGTGGAGAGGTTCCATGAGCATGTTTAGTTCTGTAATGGAGACAGTTCGTGTATACTCGCGTGCAAATAGGGTGGATGCCATGAATTGCTGAAGGTAGCGGACCGCGGGATGTCGTATCATAAAGGCTTCGAGTTCCCAAGGGGTGAAGTGCGTGGCTGCTATTTGTGTCCAGAATTTTCTAGCTTTGGCGATTGTTATCTTTGGGATTGCTGCCGTGCTGCCCGCTTGAACGCCCAAAATTTGAGCGAGTTGCTCCATCTTGAGATAGTATTGGTGCCCTTCTAAACGGAATCCGAT